GCTATGGTTTTTCCAGTTGTCATGTATGGATGTGAGAGTTGGACTATAAAGAAAGCTGAGCACCAAAGAATTGATGCTTTTGAACTGTGGTGTTGGAGAAGACTCTTGAGAGTCCCTTGGACAGCAAGGAGATCCAACCAGTCTATCCTAAAGGAAATCAGTCCTGAATATTCATGTGGAAGGACTGATGCTGAAGCTGAAACTCTAATAATTTGGCCACCTGATGTGAAGAACTGACTCATTGGAAAAGACCCTGATGCTAGCAAAGATTGAAGGCGGGAGAAGAGGATGACAGAGGATGGTTGGATGGTATCACTGACTTGATGGACATGAGTTTGAGTAAGCTCTGGAAGTTGGTGATGGTTAGGGAAGACTGGTGTGCTGCAGTCCATGGGGTTATAACGAGTCAGACATGACTGAGCCCATGCACTGACTGACTGACTGACTCCTTGCATCTCCTCTTATCTAGAAAGCACTAAATCCCCCCATAGTGATATCAGTTCCTTGCGACTAGCAGAAAAACTAGTCACTTGATTTGTGACTTGATTGATTGCAGTGAACTCCCCCTTCACGAAAATTTTATATATTGACCTTCCCCCCACTGCCTATTTGGAGTAGTCTCTCCGAGCTATCTGAGATGCTCTCTCTTGGCTTCCCTGGAGTCTCAACTGGTAAAGAATCTGCCTGCCAATGCAGGAGATGCAAGAGACGTGGGTTTGATCCCTGGATCGGGAAGATTCCCTGGAGAAGGAAATGGAACCCATTCCAGCATTCTTGCCTGGAAAATTCCATGGACAGAGGAGACTGGCCGGCTACAGTCCATGCGGTCACAAAGTGTTGGACACAACTGAACAAACATACCTTTTTCTCTTGGGCTGTAGTCCTCATTTTGCCCCAAATTAAACTTAGCTCACAGCTCTCAGGTTGTTCATCTTTTTAGTTGGCACAGCTAAAGCATAATGCAGGATGTAAACCTTGACCTTGGATTTATTAACACCCGCATGTGACCTACACTTTATAGTGCAAAATATTTCTGCATTATTTCATTCCACTGTCACTACCTCTTTGTTGGGTTAGGTGTTACTGCAATTGTAGTTGAGGCTACTTGTTCATTAAGTGCCAGCTGTAGTGAAACAGAAGGGAAGGGGGCAGGGCACAACCTTTAAAAGAATGACAATAGCTAGGAGTTTCCTGGTGGCCCAGAGGTTAGGATTCCAAACTTTCACTGCCGTGGCCTGGGTTCAATCCCTGGTCAGAGTAATGAGATGCTGCAAGCCACATGTTACAGCCAAAAAACAAACAAACAAATAAAAAGAATGACATAACTATTGAGGATAAAACATAAATTAGTTAGAACCAAGTAGGTCCAAGATGGCAGAAGATTCACCTTCCAGTAGACCTGGGGCCTATTACATGTTCATTGTGTACATTAGCATATGCTAAATGACACCCCTACTGGCACCATGACAGTTCTGAGCCCAACCATAAAAGACCAGAAAGTGGGTGGTGGCCCAGTTCCTGGAAATTCCATCCCTGCCCCCAAATAGTTGAAATAATCCTCCCACTCATTAGTCTATGAGATTACTTAGGCCATAAAAACTAATCACCTCATATTTCAGGGCCTCTCATCTTATGAGTTGACACACACTCTGTCTGTGGAGGCTGTTTCTCCCAGGGTTGCTCTTGCCTTTTGAGAAAGATCACATTCTGTTTATGGGATGTGTATTTCTCTAAAATAATCCACTGCTTACCTATCACTTTGCTTCTTGCTGAAATCTTTCTATGCTGAGACATAAAGAACCTGAGCTTCAGTAACTTCTGATACAAGGTGAGCAATCTTAACTGAAAGACAGTGGGTTCAAGTCCCACCTTATGAGTTCACGTCCCCATCAGAGTTTTGGCTGGGTTCAAATCCCATCTGAGCTGTGTGATCTGAAGCTTTGTTGCTTGATCCTTGGCCTCAGAATTCTTTCCACTCTCCCCTAGCTATCAGATGATGGCTTGATTCCTTAAAGGATAGGTAGCTTTTCAACAACTGGAGAGAGCAGGAAAAAGTACCCTAGGCCAGGAGCGGTTTGGAGGGGTGGCATACAACTTTGTAAGCAGATAGGGTGGGGGGGTGGTGTCCCTAGAAAAAGATGTAAGAAAAGCCATTTTGGGCTTAAGCCATTGTTTGATCTAAGCCTGACCACAATGCTTGTCCTTGAACAGGTCTCAGTAATTAATTATCTTGAGAGAAGTGAGGGAATGCAGGAACAAAAGAAACAAGTTTTCTTGTTCCTTGCAGTCAAAAACCAGTTTTTTCCTTAAAAGATATATGTAACAATCTGATATATGTCTTTGAGTTCTGTAAGAACTAATGTTCCCCACTCACGTGGAAGATGGAATGCCGATGTCTACCCTCCTGACTTCAATCAACTAAAGCTTGGGCCCTGTAGACCTCTGCCCCAATCCAATGCTGAATTCTCCTCTGCTCAAGCCCCTTCATGAATGAATATGCACGCACCCTTAGGCTTCTGAGGTAGGTCAGAATCTGCCTACAGTGCAGGAGACCTGAGCTGGATCCCTGGGAGATCCAGCTGGAGAAGGAAGATCCCCTGGAGAAGGGACAGCAATCTACTTTAGTATTCTTGCCTGGAGGATTCCATGGATGGAGTGGCCTGGTGGGCTACAATCCATGGTGTCTCAAAGAGCTGGACACCACCGAGCGACTAACACTTAGCTTAAAGCGTCCTCAATTTTGCTGTTTGGAGACACTGCTTTGGGGAAGATTGCTTGTGCTCTCCTTAATTGCTGCAAGTAGTATGTCTTTACTTCTTTGGAACTTTGGTTAGTTGGGTCTTCAGGCTTGACACCAACCAGAAGGCAAACTCAGGTTTTGAGCAACAGCTAGATCAAAAGGCACAAGGGACAGAGAGAGCAAACACTGAGAACAGCAATGGATGATGGAGCTGTCAGTCTGACCTCTTTATGTTATCTTCTGAGTCAGAATCCTCACACTGCTGCTGCTAAGTCGCTTCAGTCGTGTCCGACTCCGTGCGACCCCATGGACTGCAGCCTACCAGGCTCCTCCAGCCATGGGATTTTTCAGGCAAGAGTGCTGGAGTGGGTTGCCATTGCCTTCTCGAATCCTCACACAGCTCCAGGTTTTCTGTCTAGCTCTGGATAGCTCCACCTCTGCCCTTTACACTGTAGCACTCCCCCTCCCCGCACTCCGTTTTCAAACACTGTTATTTTCTCCGTCACTCAAACCCAACAGAAAGCCCCCCAAAGCTCCCGTTGGCTCCTCCAGCCCTTCCGGCCCGCCTCCTCCTGCCAGAAGCCCCGCCCCCTGTGCTACGCTCCGGCTCCGGTTTCCGTTCCTCCCGCGCGGCAGGGGTAGGTCGCTAAATCCGGACGCACAGCCACAAGGCAGTCGAGCGGCCGGAAGCGGCCTCTCTTTCCCGGAACCCCACTGCCTTGTGGGACAGCGGCTGGTTCCTCTCTTCTGGGCAAGTTTTTTCGTATCCTGTGCCCCTGCTAGCCTCTTCGGGTACGGAAGCTGAGAAGGACAACCATGGCGGCCCATCTGAAGAAGCGGGTTTATGAGGAGTTTACTAAGGTGGTTCAGGTAAGCTCTCGAAGGAAAGGTCCCAGGACTGGTCTGGGAAAGAGGAAGGTTATCCACGCCCCAGACACTTTGCCAGAACCGGCGCCACAAAGCTGGGTAGGGTGCCCGTGCTACTAGAGCTTTGGTAGGCTGCCTCTCGGACTACGCTGTAGTGGGCGTGTTCGTTGGCCGCTGCTGTTGTCAGTATTAACATGTGCAGTCTGACACTAAAAAAAACTATTAGAGGAAGCAAACAGCACCTTACAATTTACCAAAGTATCTTATCTGTTATCTCATTTTATTCATGTTTCATTCAGTTCAGCAGCTCAGTCGTGTCTGACTCTTTGCGACCCCACGGACTGCAGCACGCCAGGCCTCCTTGCCCATCACCAACTCCCGGAGTTTACTCAAACTCACGTCCATCGAGTGGGTGATGCCTTCCAAGCATATCATCCTCTGTCGTCCCCTTCTTCTCCTGCCTTCAGTCTTTCCCAACATCAGGGTCTTTTCCACTGAGTCAGTTCTTCGCATCAGGTGGCCAAAGTATTGGAGTTTCAGCTTCAGCATTAGTCTTTCCAGTGAATATTAAGGACTGATTTCCTTCAGGTTTGACTGGTTTAATCTCCTTGCTGTCCAAGGGACTTTCAAGGGGCCTCCCCAAACACCACAGTTCATTAGCATCCTCCTTTTACAAATGAGGACTTTCAGACCTCTTGTGGGGTATTGACAAATTTCCTCCCAACTCCCGTTACCAAAAAAGCGCCCAAAGCCAAGTTGGCTGTGTGAAGCGCTCTAAGGGGTTGGAAGAGGAGTCTGTAGGAATCCTCAGGACCCAGTCACAGCAGGCGAGGGTCACAGGCCTCATAGGGGTTGAAATTTTCTTTGGTGGAACAGCTCACCCCCACCCTTTTATAGCTCACCTATAAGGGAGGGCAGTACCATCCGTCCTCCTTTGGAGTTGTTTCAGGACTGAGGGGCAGTCAGTGATTCTCTATATATTTCTTCAGAGAGATCACTAAAGTAGAGGTTGATCCCAAGTCATACCTTGTGTCCTGCTTCCCTGACTTTGTGTATCCAAATCACCTGGGCTCTTGTGAAAATGTAGATTCTACTTAGTAAATGAATTGGCTGGGGGAGGCAAGGCAATAATCTGCATTTCTGTAAAGCCCCCGGTTAATGCCAGCCAATAGCAGGTTCCCATCCATAGACTTGTGGCCTAGCAAGATTTAGACCATGCAGCAGGACGCTGATCCTTAAGTATTTCATTTAGTATTTAGTATTTCATTCTTCAACAAGAGTTTATTGAATTAAAGAGTGGTTATTATGTGTCAGTATTCGGTATGGTGAAAGGCGCTGAGCTATAAACTCCAATATACATTAAGGGTCCCTGTCCTGTTGGAACTCGCAGGCAGGTGGGAGATGTGGAGCACCATATCTGAGATTGTAGTTCCGAGAGGTAATTGCATCGACAAACCAAGTCTTTCTTACTCTTTTACAACTACTTTTCGTGAAAACTAGCCAAACTCCCTTGCCCTTTGTGATTTAACAGTATTCCTTCACTGCCTTTTTTTTTTTTTTTTTTGTGGGTGGCATATTTCCATTGTGTGTAGGGAAGTTAGTTGACTTCTTATTCTTGTTTATTTTCTGAAAATAACTTTGATACTTACCTTGTCACTCTTGTTGCTCCTTTTTATGTGAAACTCATTTTCTTGAACTTCTGGAATGAGTCAAGATTCAGGAAAGCTTTACAGAGCTCTCCCTCTTCCGTGGCTTGCTTTTAAGTGTGGAGTTCAGTGACATAAAGTACATTCACTTTGTTGGGCAGTGTCACTTCTTTTCTTTATTCTGTTGTTCCCTCTTACCAAGACTACTCATCCTTCCTCCAGCATGCCATGTGTTTGGACCTTTTCAAACATTTGTATCTGTTGTCTCTTTTACGTAGAATGGATGTCATTCTTTGCTCTCTTTTTGTTCTCCACCCAGTGGACTTACATTTTTGCTTTAGTCTCTCCTCTCCTCCTTCTGTAGCACTCATCTATTTGTATTTATCACTCAGTGCTACTGGAGTTACTAGTATTTGTTTCTCCCTACCAGTTTGGGCTCCTTGAGGGCAGAGGTAACGCTTGGTTCATCTGTGTTCCCTGGATAGACCATAGGGCCTGGTGCACTAAAACATTGATGGTTGAATGATAGCAGATGTTGGTTTGTCCTTCTCCTTATGTGCTCCTTAGGGAAAAAAATCTTATAGTTTTTTGGCCAAACTGCTGATAACACTGAAGAATGGATTTGTGTGGAATAGGATGGAAATGGGTAAGGATTTTAAGAGCTCATTTTTTCTCTTCATTGCTTGTGAATGGTTACCACAGAGTAATGAAATGAGATCTTAATGCTTTTGTTATTTTTCCTCTGCCATGAAGATGAGAGAGAATTGATATGAATGTGGTGCATATGATGTGTTTGTACAATAAAGCCATTGTAATTTAGACTTCTCAAGTGTATCTGTGATGTAAGTATTGTATTCCTTATAGAAGGAGAAGACCTCTAGCTACCAACTGATAATTTAACTTAAATTCCTTTGATTTCAAAGCCCTTAGTCTTATCATGCTGTGCCTTGTTCCCGTCTAGAATAATCCGACTCTTTAGTCTTTGTGGAGCTGTAATTTTATAAAGAGATGATTCTTCAAGGTATCATTAGGATGCATCAAGTGTTAAGGAAAATTATTGATTACAACTTTAATCTTATGTTGTGATCCTCTCTATATCTACCCACCAGGGCCTTACTTAAGCCCTGGAGTGAAGGTTCCTTTTTACACGAACTTTTGGACACTCATATGTAACAGATGTGTCTGAAATAGTTCTAGTTATGCACTGTTCTTGAGAGAATCGAGAAGATAGTTACTCAGCTCATTTTGTGTGTTCTGTGGTTCAGATGAGGATTGAGAAAGACTAGCGGTAGGTCATCATTCCTATTTTATAGATGATGAAACTGGGAATTATGACATCCTTAGAAGAGAGCAGCAGAGTTGAATCTCACGTAATTCCACATCAGTCATTTAGTTAACATTTATTAAGTAGCTGCAGTTTGCTAGGCATATGGCAATGCATTTTCCCCCTACACTGTCCATTCTTCTAATAAAGGTAGAATGATTTGGGTGAAAATAGTCATCTGTTGTGAGAAGACTTTTTCCCTTAGTGTAAGCTATAGACTGTTCCTGTCAGTTCTGGATTTCTCAGGAGGGAAGGTGAGCCTAGTAAGTGCTTTAGCACAATCTGAATATATTTGTTGAATTGAGATTTCTGTTCTGTTACAGAGTGGAACAGATCCTTTGTGTGTCCTCTTAACCCCGAAGCTACAGCAATCCTAAGAGATAGGCAGAACAAAATATTATCGACCTACTTTACAGAGAAAGAAGCTGAGACTTGAAGAAATGAAATGACTTGCCCAAAGCCACTGGAGCTAGTGAAAAGCAAAATTGGGACTCAACTTTGTCTCCAGTTGGCTCTTTTCCCGGTTCATAACGCTGCTTTTTTGTTTAGACTAGGTCTATTTCCCAAATACATTATTTGGTGTAGGAAAAGTTAATTTTCATCAAATGAGGCAAAGTTAGATTTGCAGACTCTGTTTTCAGCCAGGTTTTCATGTTTTATCTTTCTTATCCTCTTGTAGCAACAACAGGAGGAAGTTGCTACTAAGAAACTCCGGCTGACAAAACCAAGTAAATCTGCAGCACTCCACATAGATCTGTGTAAGGCCACCTCCCCAGCAGATGCTTTGCAGTACCTGCTTCAGTTTGCCAGGAAACCTGTTGAGGCAGAAAGCGTGGAGGGAGTCGTCAGGATTCTCTTGGAACATTATTACAAGGTAAGAAGGTCTTGGAACCTGATGGCAGTATGTATGAGAGTTGTATTCTGTCTGCAGAATGAATTAAAATGGTACAATAAATAAGGTGTTCATTCAGCAATCTTTTCCTCAGTATTTTCCATATGCTAGGCACTGTGGATACCGAGATAAAAAGGTCCAAAAGATCCAAAAAGTTCCTATCCTTAGAAGCTTAGAGTAGCTAGATGGAAACAGATGTGAATGATAAAATGCCTCAAATTGCTGAGGGTACTGGGAGTGCATTGGAGCACAGAGGAGGAGTTAACTTCAACCAGGACTCTCCTGTAACCAGATTTGCCTCTGGTATACGGTCCTCTCTCTGCTGTTACTGCTCTAATTAATTCAGGGCCCCAATATCTTAACTGCAGTAGCCCCTCTTTTTTTTTTTTAAGTTATATATCATTTTATTTCTCTGTTTTCATAGGCTAGAAAAAAGCATCAACTCATGCATGGTTAAATACAGAAAATAGTTTAAAGAGAGAAAATGAAAGTCACCAAATGCGTTTCTTTTTCAGTTCTTGTTTGTGAGATCTGAGGTAAAAGAAGAAATGATTTGTAAATATTTGAATCACAGATGACTTAGAATTTGAAAACTTTAGTATGAAAATTATTAAGCTTATAGAAAAGTAGAGACAGTACTATAATGAACTCCCAAATAACCCATCTTTGGGGTTAAATAGTTATTAATATTTTGTCAAATTTACTTTATTTGCTTTCCTGAAGTTTTGGTTAAAGTATCATAATATTTTCCCCTGAACAGTTCATTAAATATCTCTTAAAAAGGTACATTGAAAAAAGATATAACCATCTAACCACCTCAGTATAATTCAGTTATTCCTTAATGTCATCTAACAAATAGTTCATATTCAAATTTCTCTGGCGGTGATGGTTTAGTCACTAAGTTGTGTCCAACTCTTGTGACCCTATGGGCTGTAACCCACCAGGCTCCTCTGTCCATGGAATTTCCCTTCGACAGAGGATAGTGGAGTGGGTTGTCCTTTTCTTCTTCAGGGAATCTTCCCAGGGATCAGTCCCACATCTCCTGCATTGGCAGGCAGATTCCATACCACTGAACCACCAAAGAAGCCCCAAATTTCTCTAGTTGTTCCCAGAATATCTTGTTATAGGTGATTTGTTCAAATCAGAATGCAAACTGTGTCCACACATGGCATTTGCTTTTTGTAAAATCTGGAACAGTTTTTATTATTTTGGTGACATGACCTGTTAAAGAAATTTGGTCAGTTGTTTTGCAAACTGTCTTGTTTTCTGAATTTGTTTACTTCCTTGGTTAACTTGCTCCTCTATCTCCTATATTTACTATGAACTGGAAGTTAGATCAATAGACTTTGTTAGATTTTTTGAAATTTTTGAAATTTTTTGAAAAATTTTTGAAATTTTTAAAATTAAAAAATTTTTAATTTGTAGTGAAATGGTAAAAAAAAAAAAAGAAGTCAGTGTCTTTTCCCATGTTGTTACCTCAGCCTAGAACCCCTCTCCTTGACACGACCCTGGTCTGGTCTGCCATTTTCTCTGTCAAGCATATTCCTTTCTCAGTCTTTCCACTTATCTTTCCTTCTGCTTGGAACACTTCCTCAGGTGTTCATATGTCTGTTTCCCACACTCCAGTCAAGTGTTTGCTCAAATGTTACTTTTTCATTAAGGTCTTCTTTTATCCCTCTATTTGAAATTGAAACTGCGTATCCCACTTCTAGCACTTTCTAACCCCTTCCTTGATTTTGTTTTCTCCAGAGCACTTACCATCTTCTAATATTGTATTTAATTTTCTCATTTATTTTGTTCCTTGTCCATTTCCTTGTATGAGGATGTAAGCTTCTCTTGAACAACATGGGACTTTTTTTCCCCTGCTTTATTGCGATATAATGGACATACAGCACTATTTACATTTAATGTTGCAGCATAATGATTTGACTTGCGTAAGTCATAAAATGATTACCACAGTACATTTAATGAATATCTGTCATCTCATATAGATACAAAATTAAAGAAATAGACAAAATTTTTTTTTCTTGTGTTGAGAACACTTGGGATTTACTCTACTAACAGCTTTCATATGTAACATACAGCAGTGTTAATTATATTTATCATGTTATTCATTACAACCCTAATAATTTACTTATCTTATAACTAAAAGTTTGTACCTTTTGACTGCCTTCATCCAGTTCCCTTCTGCCCACCTCTGCTTCTGGTAACCACAAATCTGATCCCCTTTTCTATGGATTCTTTTTTTTTTTTTTTTTAAGTATAATCAAGGGCTTCCCTGGTAGCTCAGCTGGTAAAGAATCCGCCTGCAGCGCAGGAGACCCCGGTTCAATTCCTGGGTCGGGAAGATCCCCAGGAGATGGGACAGGCTGCCCACTTCAGTATTCTTGGGCTTCCCTGGTGGCTCAGCTGGTAAAGAATCCACCTGCAATGCAGGAGACCCCAGTTCAATTCCTGGGTCGGGAAGATCCCCAGGAGGTGGGACAGGCTGCCCACTTCAGTATTCTTGGGCTTCCCTGGTGGCTCAGCTGGTAAGGAATCCGCCTGCAATGCAGGAGACCTGGGTTCGATCCTTGGGTTATTATCTTGCCCCCGCTCTGCTTCTGGTAACCACAAATCTAATCTCCTTTTCTATGAATTTGTTTGTTTTTAAAGTGTAACTGATCTACAACCTTATGTTAGGTCCTGCTACTCAGTATAGTGATTCAGTATTTCTATGCGTTTCAAAATGACCATAATAAATCAAGTTATGATCTGTCACGATACAAAGATGTTAGTTATTGACTATGTTCCCGATGCTGTACATTATTCTGTATCTTGGCTATTGTTACAATGCTGCAACAAACAGGGGTGCTCATATCTTTTGGAATTAGTATTTTCGTTTTCTTCTGATAAATTCCCAGGGGTAGAATCTCTGGATTGTATGGAATATTTTTTCAACTTTTTGTTATGGAAGAAATCTATATACAGTTAGAGAGAATAGTTTAATTAATTCACATGTAATTATTACCCAGTTTCAGCAGTTATCATTTCATGTCCAGATTTGTTTTATTCTCACCCCCACCCCAACTCATACTGTCCACCTCCATTTCCTCCACTTTCACCCTCTGCACCAGATTCTTGTGAAAACAAATTCCTAGCATCATATCATTTTACTCTTAAATTTCAGTTTATATCTCTAACAGTAAAGACTCTTTTTAGGGATGTCCTGTTGGTCCAGTGGTTAAGACTGTGCTTCTACTGCAGGGGTCATGGGTTTGGGCCCTGGTTGGGGAACAACCTGCGTGCCTTGTGGTATGGCCAAAAATTAATAATAAAAAGATTCCTTTTAAAAAATTACTGATAACCATCTCTAGAAGAAGTGTTCTTAAATCAGACCCTAAGCTGTTTAACCAGGCCATGCTGCTTGCCTTAGTCTAGTAGATTCTAGCCCCAAAGGTCTAGCAGATTCTATCGATTCTAACGAGTGAAAACAAGTCGGTCCAGATATAGATTGATGACCTTGGTGTTTTATTATTTATCTTTCTTCTATTTTATCCAGAAATGTGGTATCTTGTATTTTAGTGGATAACTACTTTGGCTTCTGCTTTTCTACTACAAATTTTTCTGTGGCCAGGTAGCAGTATCTGAACTTACTTCATATGAGGGATTCTTCCATTTATTCTACTGTATTAGTTACTGTGGAGGACGTTATAGAACTGTGAGACATGTTCTTTGTCCTTTAAGGACTAGTATAGTTGGTAGACCAAATAATACATGTGATATAGAGATAGTTAAGGTCTAGAGTTATTAATTTACTCATTTTTTTCATTCATTCAAAATGTTCTGGATACTAATTCTGCCAGGCGTTTGCTTCATATTAGTGATACAGAGATTAACATACGATCCCTGATCTGAGTCTGATTGGGTAGATTAGACAATAAATGGATAATTACACACTGATTTCCCAGGCAAGACTACTGGAGTGGATTGCCATTTCCTTCTCCAGGGGATCTTCCTGACCCAGGGATCGAACCATGTTGCCTGCCTTGGCAGGTGGATTCTTTACCACTCAGCCACCAGGGAAACCCAATACAGTGTTACAGGTATCATGAAACCTGTGACAGGTTATGATGTAACTTTTAAAGAAGAAGGTAATCCATTTTACGTAGGAGCATAGGTCTAGAAGGGCATCATAGAGTAGTGATGCTTGATGGTGGTTTAGTCACTAAGTCGTGTCCAATTCTTGTGACTCCATGGACTGTAGCCTGCCAGGCTCCTCTGTCCATGGGATTCTCCAGGCAAGAATACTGAAGTGGGTTGCCATTTCCTTCTCCAGGGAATCTTCTGACCCAGGGATTGAACCTGGGTCTCCTGCATTGCAGGCAGATTCTTTACCAACTGAGCTAGGGTGATGCTTGAGGTGAATCTTAAAAAGCAGATTTTGACTAGTTGGAAAACAAGAGGAAAGGCGTTTTAGAAAGAAGGAAGAATTGTGAGCAAAGACTTGGAGATGTGAAATAATCTGTCACATTAGAAGAGATACAGATAGTTGGGCTGGTGTCGATTTTAAATTGAGAGCTCTTTAAGAGATAAGACTAGAAATCTTATCTAATAGAAGGTTCTTGAATTCTGCCTTGTGGATTTTTGTTTCAGATATATCACTCTGGGGGTGCTATGGTGGATGGAGGAATTGAATGAGGGCCAGGTAAGACAGGAGTTAGGGTGACCAGCTAGGAGACTGCTAAGTCTATAGCAAGATGAGAAAAGCCTGAACAAGGACAATTTTAATGGTGAGAAGAGCAGTTATTAGAGAGGCTTTTGACAGAGGCAGTTGTAAGCTTAGTTATGGGGATAATTTCAGAAAGTAGAAAAACTTGAGTAAAGTATCCAGATGAAGAAAGAATGTTACTGGGTCAGATACTCTCATTCTTTTTTGTTCCGTTCTTGCCTTCCTCTTATTTGCTAGACTTAGTATTTCTGCTTTCTCAGCTGCTCCCTATGTTTGGAGGTCTGTGACTCCATTCCAGACTGTAGAAAGACTCTGTAGCTTTTCTGTCCTCTCTTACTACAAAATTAGGGTATTTGATTAGTGTATTGTCTCTGAAAGACAATTACTTTATTTGATGATGTTATTTCAGTGATTTGAAGTCCATAAAGAATTGACTTTTATTTGTATTCAGAACTGAACTTGGTATCTCCATTCATTCTCCAGTCTGCCTTATAGCAGGAAATGTACCACCATCAATATAGACCCTTACATCAGAAACCCAAGAAAGATACCACCCTCACCCTTTCCTTTCCCCATATTCCCTTCCTACCAACTCATGTTGATTTTACCTTCTAAATATCTGAGTCCATATCCCTCCCTGTTTCCACTATTACCCTAGTAATCTAAGTAACTATCATATTTTTAGAACATTATTATGAACTGTAACACAAAGACTATGTAGAAAAACTCATATATCCTATTGATCAACATGAAAACAGTATATGACTGCCATCCAGGTTAAGAAATGCAATATAGTCAGCCTCTTATAGGTCCCCCAAAACTCTTTCTGATTATTTCTCCTCACTTTTCCAAAGATAATCATCACTCTCTTGACTTTAAGGGTAAAAGCTTCCTTTAAAATTTTCTTTTTTTTTTTTTAAATCATTTAAACCTGTACTAAATGCAACCCACACTTCCTTCCTTCCTCCTTCCCGCCTTTACTTTCTGTGGGTATCTTTTTATGTGTAACTCTTGCTCAAAATTCTATCTTGAGATTTATCTTTGTTGTTAACTTTAGCTATAGTTCATTTATTTTTACCATAGTGTAAGATTTCATTGTATGAATATACCATTATTTATTTATTCATTCTATTATTGATGGACATTTAGATTGTCTCCAGTTTTTAGTTATTAAAAGAAGTATTCCCATGAACATTTTTGTACAAATCTTGTATGCATTGTTTGTGTTTCTGTCTAGTGTATTTGTCTATTTTTATGCCAGTACTATGCTGTCTTAGCATCAGTTCAGTTCAGTCGTTCAGTCGTGTCCGACTCTTTGCGACCCCATGAATCGCAGCACACCAGGCCTCCCTGTCCATCACCAACTCCCAGAGTTTACTCAAACTCATGCCCATCGAGTCAGTGATGCCATCCAGCCATCTCATCCTCTGTCGTCTCCTCCTCCTGCCCCCAATCCCTCCTAGCATCAGGGTCTTTTCCAGTGAGTCAGCTCTTCGCATGAGGTGGCCAAAGTATTGGAGTTTCAGCTTCAGCATTAGTCCGTCCAGTGAACACCCAGGACTGATCTTCTTTAGGATGGACTGGTTGGATCTCCCTGCAGTCCAAGGGACTCTCAAGAGTCTTCTCCAACACTATGCTATGTGTTAGCATAGCATAGACACTATGCTATGTCTTAGTATAGCATTATAATAAATTTTGACATCTGGTAGGGTAACTTCTACTTTGTTCTTCTTTAAGAATATATTAATTATTCTTGGTTTTTTAATTTATTGATAAATTTTGAAATCAGCTTGTGAAAATCTGCCTGAAAATAAAATTTCTTATCAGAATTTTGATTGCTGCTGCTGCTGCTAAGTCGCTTCAGTCATGTCCGACTCTGTGCGACCCCATAGACAGCAGCCCACCAGGCTCCCCCATCCCTGGGATTCTCCAGGCAAGAATACTGGCGTGGGTTGCCATTGCCTTCTCCGGAATTTTGCTTAGGGTTGCATTAATTCTGTAATTAAGATGCAATTTGCTGATTGACATTTTATAACATTGAGTCTTACAGTCAGTGGACATGGTATGTCCATTATTTAAATGCTGTTTCCTGTGTAGAAGTTTTGTACATCTTTTTGTTAGTTATTCCTAGATAACTTTGTTATTGTAAATGATGCATTTAAAAATTCTTATTTTTAAGTAGTACATAGAGGATATTCAGAAATTCAGTTGCTGTTTGTTTATTAAACCCTGTATCTTCAACATTGCTAAGCTCATTTAACAATTTTAATAAATTATGTGTAGGTTCTTTTAGATTCTTTACAAATAACCTTGTCAGCATATAATGGCTTTGTCTAATATTATATAATGATACCAGCTATCTCTTGATTAAAGTTTTCATTATATACCTATTTCTACCTTTTATTTTCAAATCTTTTTTTAATCACTTTTTGTTTTGTGACCCAACAGCATATAGTTAGTTTTTTGAGAAATTTCACTTAACAGTGTTTAGTTTTTAATTGGAACATTTAGTTCTTTATAATATGTTTATTGAAATATATGATTTTAAGTCTATCCTCTTATGAAATGCCTTCTATTTATCTTACCTGCTTAATGTTCTTTTTTCCCTCTCAGTTCTCACTGTGCTTTGCATTGGCTTTTGTTAAAAAATTCTCTCCTTCACTGCTTTTTATTAGCTTGGGAATTATACATTTTTTTGTACCTCTTTTACTGGTTAACCTAGATATTACGTTAATTCTTTTTAAAAATTAATTTTATTTTTGACTGCTCTAGGTCTTCATTTCTGTGCATGAGTTTTCTCCAGCTGTGGCACGTGGGGGCTACTCCCAAGTTGCAATATGCAGGTTTCTCATTGTGGTGGTGACTCTCGTTGCAGAGCACAGGTTCTGGGTGATTGGACTTCAGTAGTTGTGGCACATGGACTCAGTAGCTGCTGCTCGCAGGCTCTAGAGCACAAGCCCAGTAGTTGGGGTTGCATGGGCTTAGTTGCTCTGCACCATGTGGGGGTCTTCCTGGACAAGGGATTGAACCTGTGTCCCCTGCATTGGCAAGTGGATTCTTAACCACTGAACCACCATTCACTCAGTTGTGTCCCCATAGCCTATAGCCCACCAGGCTCTTCTGCCTGTGGAATTCTTGCCCATGGAGTTCTCCAGGCAAGAATCCTAGAGTGGGTTGCCATATCCTTCTATTAGGAGATCTTCCTGACCCAGGGATCTAACCTGGGTCTCTTGCATTGCAGGTGGATTCTTTACCATCTGGGCCACCAGGGAAGCCCAGTAAATCATTTCTTAGTCTCTCTTGCCCTGGTACCGAGATCCAGGCCCAGGCCTTGGACCGACACTCAGACAATTAGATCTACCTGCCTTGGACTTCTGATCCGGATCTAGTGATCCAGAAACACAGAGCAAAAATTTTCTGGTGATAGCAGTGGTAGCTGCAGCACCCAATTTCTGGAGGCTTCAAAAACAGTGGCGCTGACATCAGTGTTGGAGTGCTCAGTGTTCATGGCGCAAGTTGCTGCAGCTCATGCCGAATGTGACTGCACGGTGGAAGAAAGGTACTTTTAATCCCAGAAGCATACATCTGGTTAGAAATTAATGACATCGGGAAGGCGTGAAAATGTTCTCATTCACGTTGCATTATTTGGATGTAACATACAGATTGAGAAAAACTTTCTCCCCCAAAGCATATATAGCTAATTTTTCAGAAATAGAACTTGAGAATACTTGGATCATTGAATCTTTTTTGAGATATTTCCCATGTTCCTGTTTTTGGTTAGCGGGGAGTAGAGCATCAAGGTAACAATAGCTTCTTTTGTTGCAGGAGAATGATCCATCTGTGAGACTGAAGATTGCATCATTGTTGGGTTTACTGTCAAAGACTGCAGGATTTTCACCAGACTGCATTATGGATGATGCCGTTAATATCCTGCAGAATGAAAGTAAGTTGCAGTTTAAAAGCTGTAGAGGGAATTCCCAGGTGATCCAGTGATTAGGATATGCACTTCCACTGAAGGGGCAGGAGTTCCATCCCCGGTTGGGAAACTAAGATCCTCTATGCCTCGCTCTGCAACCAAATACATAAATAAAAGTTGTATAATTAGAGCAGAAATCTTTAGTTCCTTTTATATAGAGTGTAGAGCAAAGTTTTGTTGTATTGGTGGTTATTGAAAAGAAATTCGAGGATGATTCAGTAAAACCATGTACATATATTTACCTTAGAGTTAAAATACAGGTTTGTCCCTTAATAGCTATCATTTATTGACCTCTGCTAACAGCCATATACCTAAGGTAGTTTACATATGACATAAGATAGATACTATTGCCCTTATTTTATAGGTGGGGAAACTGAAGCTCAAAGAAGTTAACTGACTTGTTCAAGGTTATGAGTCTGTAACAGAGTTGATGTTTTGTTGAGTGTGCCTCCCATCCCAGCAGGGGGTTCCTGGGTGGCTCAGTGGTAAGAACCTGCCTTTACCGGCAGAAATGCAGGAGGCACAGATTCGATCCCTGGGTCGAGAGGATCCCCTGGAGAAGGGAATGGCTGCCCACTTCAGTACTCTTGCCTGGAGAATCCCATGCATGGAGGAGTCTGATGGGCTACAGTTCATGGGGTTGCAGAGTCAGACATGGCTGAGCAACTGAGTACACACACCCATACCCCACACACCCCCCTGGTCATGGAGTCCTCCACCATTTAGTTCCTATATGTTGTTGCCTTTTCTATTTGTTCCTTGTTGATGTGCACTAAACTTCTCAGTGTTTAGGTAAAAAGGAAAACTGTTTCACCATAAGAATTTTTTTTTTAATTATATGTGTCTTGTTTTATTTATCTACAAGATTTTCTAATAGAGTTAGTGCCTCATTGCTTTGATACTTACTCTGAAATTAAATAAAAAGATCTTTTGCTGGTGTTTCCGGTAATATTGTAGTTTTGTTTGAATTGGTCGTAATTGCAGAAAATAGTTTTATTTCATTTTAGGGTATCCATTTTAAATAAATACGACTATTTAAAATTGGACAACATTTTATTCTATAAACTGAGGAGGTTATGAGTGAACTCAAGAGATAATCTAAATTCACTTATTGTACAGCTAATGGTACAAATATAAATGGCCCATTGGTTGAAATTGAAAATATTTTTTGTTAGGAATAACTTTAAGTTTTAGTTGTATTGAATTTTGACCCCAGACTTATAATTCATAGGAAACAATCAAACCTTAAAAACTTTTTTTGATATTTATTGAAAGGCCAATGTAGTGATATTAAGGGAAAAATTTAAAAATATTCCTACTGCTACCATAAAACTATTTGTTTTACATATTATCTTTTACTTACATAAGTTTTATATGGTTGTACTTACAGTGAGTGTATTATTTTATCTTTTAGTATATTTACTTAACATTATATATAATTTTCTCATTTTTATACATTACCTTCATAAAAATTAGGGTGTTGATAATATATTACATACTAATAGATATTTCTTTACTCTTGTAGGTAGTGGCAAAAAAAATACTTCTTTTAAAAGCACCAAAGCAATTACATTGCCTCAATATCCTTTTTTTTTTTACATGGAAAAAGTTCTTATATGAGCTATCCTTGGAAGAATTTCTTACTTTATGATTGGGGATTTCATAGAGTCATAGACTATTTGAGATATAAATGGCCTTCTAGTGATCATCTTGTCTAATTGCTGCAGTTTGCAGATGACAAGACTGTTAAGTCCCAGAGAGCTGAGATGAGTTGAAGTGACTTGGTCTAGCCAAAAGTGGTGACAGAACTGAGAGCTTAGTGTGGGGCTCTTTTATGGACTAAGATTTAACTAAAAACACTTCACCTCTGAAACAGAAACATTAAGACAGAGACTTAGTTTTAAATCAGAGCTCATTATAGCCAAACTATGCAGTATTCATGGAAATAGCTGTTTTACTTTAAGTATTCTAATGTTTCTTACTTAATTGTCTCTAAGAGATCTGGTCTAGGACTCTTCCTGGTTCCCTGTTCCTGGCCCACCTAGAGTCATAGAAGATAGAATTGGAAGGGACCATAAGTTTCATCTAATTCAAGCCCTTTATTTCAAGGCTGAGGAAGATGAACTCCAGGGAATTAAAGTGACTGCTGAAGTCACTTTGTATTTGCGGCTTAAAGTTAAGAGTTTCCCAATTATCAGTCTTAATATTACCAAATCCAAGACTGTGGTCTGCACTTTGGTTCAGAAGTCTTTAAGTTAAGTTCATCAAATGCCTAAATTTTATAACTCTTTGGCAAGCATTGCTTCTCTAGTACATGCTACACCACTAATGATAATGTCAAGCTTGTTTTAGAGGAGGTATAATTAACATACTGTGGGAGCAGAGGAGAGAATGGGATCAGTGCTGACTGATGGGCTCTAGAAAGGCTTAGTGAAAAGGTAGGTTTGGAAAGTCCAAATCCTCCAAATTTGGGGAAAAGTGGTACCAAGAAGGAACATGATGATAGAAGATAGAAGACTGGCAAAGTATAAGAGATGTTTGAAGAACTGAGTTGCTTGAGAGATCAATAGGAAGGAAGTAAGGGGCTTTTGGAAGAAAAACATTGGTAAAATGTTCTGAAGCCAAAGGGTAGCAGTCTTGAGTGCTGAGAATTTTAAATGTTATTTTGTAGGCAGTGGGTACCTAGTTCTCCTTGAACAAGGCATGAAGTGATCAAGTCTAGTTTTATAAGGATAATTTAGTGGTTGTGTGGAATTTGCTTTGATGAACTGGGTGGTTTAGAGAAGAAATGTGGAGGATTCATTTATTCTTGTGGCATTGTCCATCTAACCTGAAGTTACAATGTAGGCCTGGAACTCAGCAGAGAGACCAGGATTTAAGATTTAGATTAGATTTGTGATTTATTAGAGTCAAGAGTTAAGTTCAGGCCTTGCAGACGCCGCCACCGCGGAGCCTTCCTTGCTCTCTCACTATGGTCAACCCCACCATGTTCTTTGACATCACTGTTGACAGCCAGCGCTTGGGCCACGTCTCTTTTGAGCTGTTTGCAGACAAAGTTCCAAAGACAGCAGAAAACTTTCGTGCTCTGAGCACTGTGGAGAAAGGATTTGGTTATAAAGGTTCCTGCTTTCACAGAATAATTCTGGGATTTATGTGCCAAGGGTGATGACTTCACACACCATAATGGTACTGGTGGCAAGTCCATCTGTGGTGAGAAATTTGATGATGAGAATTTCATCTTGAAGCATACAGGTCCTGGCATCTTGTCCATGGCAAATGCTAGCCCCAACACAAACGGTTCCCAGTTTTTCATCTGCACTGCCAAGACTGAGTGGTTGGATGGCAAGCATGTGGTCTTTAGCAAGGTGAAAGAGGGCATGAATACCTTGGAAGCCATGGAGTGCTTTGGGTCCAGGAATGGCAAGACCAGCAAGAAGATCACCATTGCTGACTGTGGACAAATCTAATAAATTTGACTTGTGTTTTACTTAACCACCAGACCATTCTGCTGTAGCCCAGGAGAGCACCCCTTCACCCCCATCTGCTTGAAATATCCCATAATCTTTGTGCTCTCATTACAGTTCTTTGGGTTCCATATTTTCCTTATCCCCCTCCAAGTTTAGCTGGATTGCAAAGTTAAATTTATGATTATGAAATAAAAACTAAACAATTAAAAAAAAAGTTAAGTTCAAAAAGGTCTAGCTGTCTTTTTATGGTTGTCATGCAGAATCATCTTTTTGAAGAAATAAATTTTAGAGCAGTATGGTGGTATTGATTTCTTCACCTTTCTTCTGTTTTCTCTTAGTACCTTTTTTTCTCTTTGTGACCTCTTTCATATTGGAGACTTACCTTTCCTTTTTTAATCTTTTCAACTTAAAAAAATTCTTATATTCTCATTGGAATATAATTGATTTACACTGTTGTGCTCGTTTTGTTTTGTTTCTCCATATTACTTGTTTGACTGGGCCAGATCTTGGTTGCTGCTTGCAGAATCTTCAGTCTTTATCAAGGCATGCCCCATCTTTTAGTTGCAGCATGTGGGATTTAGTTCCCTGACCAGGGGTTGGACCAGGCCCCGTGCTTTGGAAGCATGGAGGACCACCAGGGAAGTCCCCTACAGTGTTGTGTTTGTGGAGACTTTTCTTGATGATCTTTGGCTTTGCATTGAAGCTTAGGATAAGGCACTAAAAAGCTGATGGGGAGTTCTTTGTGAATGGATGGGGCTGTCAGCTGATAGGCTCCACTCTAACATGATCCTATGTGTCTCTGGAGGACTGTTAAATAGTAGTGTCTTCTGCTGTTTTTTGTGGTCCTGTCAACTTTTGACTCTCCTGCTGGGAGGACAGATGCCTGACTGCCATGTTTTTTTTTAGCCAAAGCAGCCAAAGAGTGTTAGGGAGGGAGTCTCATTTTCAGTATGTTGATTATCTCTTAAGCTCTTTATTATCAGTTCAGTTCAGTCCCTCAGTCGTGTCCAACACTTTGCGAACCCGTGGACTGCAGTACGTCAGGCCTCCCTGTCCATCAACTCCCAGAGCTCACTCAAACTCATGTCCATTAAGTCAGTGATGCCATCCAACCATTTCATCCTCTGTTATCCCCTTCTCCTGCCTTCAATCTCTCCCAGCATCAGGGTCTTTTCCAGTGAGTCAGTTCTTCATATCAGGTGGCCAAAGTATTGGAGTTTCAGCTTCAGCATCAGTTCTTCCAATGAATATTCAGGACTAATTTCCTTTAGGATGGATTGGTTGGATCTCCTTGCAGTCCAGGGGACTCTCAAGAGTCTTCTCTAATACCACAGTTCAAAAGCATCAATTCTTTGACTCAGCTTTCTTTATAGTCTAACTCTCACAGTCATACATGACTACTGGAAAAACTATAGCTTTGTCTAAATGGACCTTTGTTGGCAAAGTAATGTCTCTGCTTTTTAGTATGCTGTCTAGGTTGGTCATAGCTTTTCTTCCAAAGAGCAAGCATCTTTTAATTTCATGGCTGCAGTCGCCATCTG